CCTGAATCTTTGTCTGCCTCACTGTCACCTTCTCAGCCCTGGGCACAGTGGTTATAACTAGAAAGAACAAATTGACACCTCAAGATGGTCACAGAGACTGGGGTGCTGAGACCTAGAGAAAATTTCTCTGCTCCTAATATTTCTCAAAAAGAAAAGACATAGTAACCCGAGAAATTGGTGCCTGTGTGTCAGAAAGATTATCTGAGAAATGACTAAAGACTCTTCCACAGCTATATTGTTTGTAAGACAGAGTTCAGCAGTAGACAGGAATGCATTTTCCGTTTGATCTGGACTCAATCCTTAATACAATGTCAGCAGGTCTGGAAATAGAACATGTCACTGACTAATTCTTCTCTCTTCATTCTTTGCTAATCCAACAGTAACTGTAGCAGAATGGACATGCCACCTTTTCCATTATGGTCATTTAATGAATTCTTTTTTTATGTCTGGCTGCCGTTGCACAAAATGTGAGCTAAGTGTCACTGTCTTCATGTTCATAGATTTAGACATCCCTGCGCAAACAGCTGGTAAGGGAAACAACCGGGACTCAAACTCCAAGTCCCTTGCTCTTTCTATCGCAGTAAGCCAAAATGTGTCTTCTGCGCCATCAAATTTCACTCAGGGTCTCGTAGGGCTCCAAAGCACATCATAAGCCCGCGGAGCCAACATTGTGAAAGGAAATTGATCCATGTGTTAGCAATGTTAGAGGACAGAGGTGCATAATGAATGACATTACAAATTGTCAGAGGTGTTTGTTTTTTTCCTTAGGACACCCAGAACCTCAGACCAGAATTCCATTATCTGAGACATTACACAGGGAGAGAAAGAGGTGATAGCTGTTCACTGACGTTCGAATAACATCCGATCAATTCTCAGGCTCGTGTGGATGGCCACAAGTGATACTAATACTTATGTTCGAGGCAGTATGAAGTAACATGAGAGTTATCAGAATCTGAATCTAAACCCTCATTCTAACTGAGTATGACTTACTAACTGATCAATGTGAACGATGTCTTTATCCTGAATCTGTCTTCCAAATTCATCTATCCAACTGCCATCTTCATTTGAATGTCTGCTAGGCATGTTAAACTTCCCATTTTCTAAAAATTAAACGTCTTATTTCCCCTGTAAGCCTGCTCCTCTCTCGGTCCTTCTCAACTCAATGGCAATTCGATCCTTTGAGGTGATGAAGGTAAAAGAAACACAGAAAACAAAAAACCCTTGGCTTTTCTGACTTTTCTCTGTATCTTATGTCCCACATCCTGTAACTTATCTCTAAATATTGTCAACATCTCAAAAACATATTCCAAACAAGGTCACTTCTCACCATCTCCACCGTTGCCACTTTGGTCCTAAGAATTATCTTCTCTGGCCAGGAATATTGTAACTCTGGCTTTCACTCTCTTCCTTCATAGTCTAATTATTCACAGTGACCAGAGTAATTTCATGAAACTATATCCGATAAACATTATGTAAACAATCCAAGTAACACTCATCAGGTTTTTCTGTAGCATGCAGTGAAAAGTCAAAGTCCCAGTGAGGACTTTGAGGACTGCCATCACTTCCCTGAACTTATCTCCCCTTCTCACCTTTTCCTCTTTCTGCTCCCGCTGTAAGACTTTTGATCTTTCACACTTAAAGCACAATCCAACTTCAGAGCCTTTGCATTTGCTCTTTCCACTGCTGGAGATAGTCTTTCTCTAGGCATCGCTAGGGTACATCATTCATGGACTTATCTCCTTTAAATATTTGCTAAAATATTGTCTTCTGATTCAGAAGAAAACTAGAGTCTTTCTTTGGCTACAAGTTGGGCTGCTAATTGCAGTGTTAGCAGTTCTAGAACACCAGCTGCTTCTTGGGAGAAAGAAAAGGTATTCTACACCTGTAAAGAGTTACAGTCCTGGAAATGCACAGGAGCAGTTCCACCCTCTTCTATAGGATCGCTGGAGTCACAATAGACTCGATGGCCTGTGTTTGGTTTGGGTTTACCATCTTATCTAAAATGGGAACACTTATCTAAAGTAGCTCCACTTCCTCTTTTATCTTTCTTCATACACAACCCAGAGGAAGTCATTCATCTCACTAAACCTT